CCTGTTTTGTCCTTAGCACAACAGATGTCCATTGAAAAGAAAAACATGTTTCCAGCGCTTTTAAGACTGCCAGGATTTTCCCTCCACAAACATCCCCCATAAAAGCTGTTCCTGAGAAAAGTGAGTGACCCAAAGCCCCATTTGAAGCTGCCCTGAAGAATCCCATTTACACAGATCTCCACTTTCCTCTCCTTTTAGGGCCCTGACTGAGGCCTCCAGTTTGAGCAGTTCCCAGTGACTGTGGGGCTGTGCAGTGCTAAAAAACACATTGAGCAGAGAGGAACAGATGCATTTTTAGTTGTGAAATAAAACCTGGACCTTAAGGGGTGAAATTCTGAGACATCAACAATCCTATGATGCCACAGCAACCCTGTTCCAATAAGTTTGAAACCAATTTGCCATCAATATTTTTGTACAAGCCCAAGTACACAAACTCAGTACCGGGTAGGCATCTCTAACAAGTGCAGGCGAGGCAGGTACCTGTTGGGTTCAATTAAGCTTTGCAAAAACCCCCCTTGTGCCAGGAGAAAAATAATGAGGCTACATGAGCCAAAGTGCTTCACTTCCAGTGCAGGCTTTGGGCTGTGTGAATGAAATTTGCAGTGAAAATAAGAATCTCACCAGCACTCCGAGAACAGCGGGTCAAGGAAAAGCAGGATGAGAGCTGCAGAGGTGGGAAGAAGGGAATTAAAATGTTTTGTAAGCCCCCAGTTTCCATCAGCTGGGTACAAACACTTTATTCTTGTTTCCAATGAAACTCCGTGGATAGTTTCAAGGTGATAAACGTCCACTGTTAATCATCTCACCTGGCACTTTTGAGTGTTCATCCTGCAGATCTCAAAACACTTTACAAACCTCCAGCAAAGGCTGCCTAAAAGTTCTGGAAAAGTTTTCCCGAATGTTATCAGCAATACATAGACAGAAAGAAAGAAAATAAATAATTTTTTTTAAAAAAAATCACAGCAAATATTTTTCCATTATATTAATAATGGAATTATATTAATAATGGAAATCCACTTATATTAATAAGAGGGACATCCACTGAAACAAAATCAGTTGTAAAAAAATACACAGATTATGTGGGAGATTATGTTTTTATAGTTTAAATAAACCACACATGGGAAGAAGAAAATTGCCATCCCTCATTCCCAGGGATGAAAAGGCAGCTTGTGACACGTCCAAAGTGAAGCAGAGAGGGGATGCTCAGAGCTTGAGGCCCACACCAATGCATCAGATCATGGGAAGCTTAGGTGAGCGCTGTCAGGCACAGTTTTATGTTTTGTGACACAATGAACATCTCTGAACTCAGTGAAGAAATTGTCACAAACTGGGCAAGGATTTTTTTTTTCCCCCTATTTTCTATTTTCCATTTCTTCTTTGGCTCTGAGATAAAACTGGTGAATAAAAAGACCTCTTTGAAATAAAACATCACGGGTGTTCCCAACTAATTTTTCCTTCAACAGCTTCTACTCTCAGTGAAGAGAGCAGAAAAGTGGAAGAAGAGTGTAATGTAGTATTTACTCCATAGTGGAGGAGGAAACACTGTTTCTTTCAGTAGCCAAGTTCTTTAGGCCCTGTAAAATTCCAGATGTTCCTCAAACACCTGGAATGTCACAGGAGCAGGAGGTGTGGAGAGAGGAACCAGGAACCAGCAGTAGCTCAGGGCAGGCACAAAGCCCTGAGGAGCAGAATCCATCCAGCTGCAGACCTGCAGGAATTCTGTGGCACAAAAACCCAGGGAAGCCAGGGATAGGAGGGAGGATGGGAGCAAAAGGCTTTCCACAAAGATGGGAAATCCTGGGATATGAAGGGCAGATGGGTTGAAAGAACCTCTACAAAGTTCCCCTCACAAACCATCTCTGTAGCCACCTTCTGGGGAACTTTCATTTTATTAAGTTTGAAATATAAACCAAAGTGGTTTTACCTTCCCAGGGCTTAGTTTGGCCAGACAAAAAGAGACAAAGGTGCGGGAATGGCTGGGAAAAGTGGAAATTCCCAGGAAAAGCGGGAATTCCCGGGAAAAGCGAGAATTCCCGGGAAAAGTGGGAATTCCCGGGAAAAGTGGGAATTCCCGGGAAAAGCGGGAATTCCCGGGAAAAGCGGGAATTCCCGGGATATCCCCCAGCATCAGGGATCTGGTGTCACCTGGCGGTCGCATCCCGAAAAGACACCGGGAGCGGGGAATCCCAGGAAAGCGCCTGGTCCAGCCTTCCCACCTCCTCTGGAACTGGAATTTGTGGCTGAAGGGCTCCGGTGCCCCGCAGGAGGAACATCCAAGCTCCTGGCCCTGCAATAAATCCGAAATGTCATTGACTGAACAGCCGCATAAACCAAATTTCCCAGGGCTGCCCAACACGGGCTGCTGCTGCCGAGCAATATCGGAGTGTAAATAGAAGAGAAATTTAAATAATTCAGGGTTAAAGATCGTGGAACAAGGAGAGAAGAAAGAAGAGGAAGAAAAAAAAATCTCAAACTGAATGATAGAGAAGAACTGGATAAAAAACCCCCTTGTGTCAGAGAGAAGCAGCAGGTGGACAGGAAAAGTTTCTTCCTGTCAGAGATGATAAATCCATGGAATCTTTAAGGTTGGAAAAGGGGTCATTAAATCCAGTGCCAGCCCAGCACCACCGTGTTCACCATTAAACCCTGTCCTCAGCTGCCACATCCACCCAATCTTCCACCTTTTCCAGGGATGGTGACTCCACCACTACCCTGGGTAGCCTGCTCCACTGCTTGACAACCCTATCCATGAAAAAATATTCCCTAATATCAACTTTAAACCTCCCCTCGTGCAACTTGAGGCTGTTTCCTCTCATCCTGTCACTTGTTGGAAAGGAAACCAACTCCCACTTGGCTCCAGCCTCTGTGTTTGCTGAGAATTTCAGGTGCCAGTGCCATCCCTAAACTTTAATGAATAAAAATAATGTAAAATGGACATGTGGACCACACCTGAGTAGTTTCAGGAGCAACCACCCCATCCTGACAGTGCCCATACCTGCAGAAAGTAGAACTGTGCTGTGCAAGTTGAGAGCCAAAACACCTCAGCATTTTCCCACCAGGCTGCACTTGCAAGAAACATTTCTGTCACTGGATGTTCCTGTTACAAGGTGTTAAATTTGGCTAACAAATATACTGCTCCTTTTTAATGTAGAACACGGCTGCACTTCAGTCAGCGTTTCTCCCCTCATTAAAAAGTAAAACAGAACCTCATCAGCACAAGGTGATTTGCATACAGAGGCTTCCCTGCCACATCTAAAACATGAAGTCATATTCCATTGAAAAACCCCCAAAAAAGGATTATGTACTCACTTCAAAGGGCTTATTTATTATTCAGCGTTTGGAAGGTTACTAAGAACCCCAGAAGGATTTTCTGGATTTGTTTCTGCAAATACTGTCACAAATGTACTCCAGTCGTTGACTTTTGTGGTGCTTATTGTCATGGAAAGATGAAGTTAAAGGTCACACAGCCCTCAATCCACATGGAGGTTCCTAAAAAAAGCTTGGATAAGCTTCTTGCTGATGAACAGGAATCAAAAACCTAAAATGTGACAAAACACAGGTGGCCTTTGCCCAGAAGGCAGCTGCATTCTAGGAGGAACTTAAATAATTGGACACACCAGGGAGCTTGGAGTGAGGAACTTTTGGTGTGTTTCCTTCCTTTTAAAAAGGCTACTGATGAGATGGGGATCATCAATCAGCCTCTTTGCCTCTTCCTTTTGTTTCTCTGCTTCCCTCATCATCCTCTTCAGTGGTATCAGCCTTGTTGGCCACTTCTGGAGGGGCTCTAGGGATGGAGAGACACCAGTTAAAAGTTCTTTACTGCACACTTTACACTTGTGCTCATACCCTGTATTTTCTAGTCCCCTTTCAAAATTCCACTCAACTAGAGAGTCATGATATCTCAGGGGTAAATATGGTCCCAAAGTAAAGTCCACATAAACTTCAAGGCAAAAGGAATTTATAAGATATTGGACAGAGAAGCAGTAAGATCAAAGTAAAACATTAAAAAAACCCAACAAACTCATTTTTTCCAGACTCAATCTTTAGGTGCAAAGGAAAATAGCTTAAATTGGCAGGAGCACATTCCTGGTTGGTTGTTTCAACAAAAGCAGCTCATTGTTTGAAGGAAGAAACTCTTTCCCCAACCTAAAGAAATGGAGATTTACAGTACAGTCCCCACTTGGCTTGGGATGACAACAAGACTATTTAACAAGGTATCCAGAACAGTCAGAAGCCCAGGGTCTGGAATATTTTAGTCCTAGAAAAGAATCACAGAATGGTTTGAGTTGGAAGGGCTCTTGTTCCACCTGTCATGGGCAGGGACATATTCCCACTATCCCAGGTTGCTCCAAACCCCATCCAGCCTGGCCTTGGACATTTCCAGGGATGGGACAGCCACAGCTTCCATGGGCAACTGTGCCCAGAAAATGTGGAGAATCCATGGCTGAACTCTCCCTTCCCCAGATTCAAAGAGGGCTGTAACTTCCATGTGTCACCTTTGAGGAAAGGAAGGTGTTACCCACACACTTTTCCCGTAGGAGATGTTGGTGTGGAAAGCAGCTCGGATCACAAAGGCCTGACTGGCTGGGGCTGAGCACAGAGCCTCCTCTGCTCCTTGACTACAATGTTTCTTGTGGTCAAGGAGCATTTGAGTTGAAAAGAATTGAAATTGTGTCCCAACAAAGCACTGTGGCATGGAAACAGGATAGAAAGCTTGGAGGCACGTTCTGGATCTGGTTTATAATGAGAGGGGTTGGGGCCCAGGCAGTACTAAAAGGGTTTCCAGGGATTTCAAGACCTATGGCCAGATCTCTTGGGTGAAGAGATTTGCACAGTTTGGTGAGTGAAAAAATCCCCAAGGATGTTCATTAGTCTGTGGCTTTGCACTCTGCAGTGTTTTGTGTTTACGTGCAGGAGTTGTGACCAGTGGTAACAGCTTTGGCACCTTAAAGAGTGTTTGTTATTGCCAGAGGAAATCCTGCTCTGACTGAAAGTGTTGGACAGCTGCCACTTACAAGTTTATCACAGAATCCCAGAATGGTTTGGGTTGGAAGAAACCTTAAAGCCCATCCAGTTCCACCCCTGCCATGGGCAAGGACACCTTCCATGTCCCAGGTTGGTCCAAGCCCTGTCTAACCTGGATTTGGACACTTCCAGGGATCCTGGGGAGCCCTCAACCCAAATGAGGTTGATGGAGAGCATCCTCTGAGGTTAATATGCCAAACATCAAGTGTAAACCAACTCCTGCTTTTCTAGAACAACTGTTTTCCCAAGAAGGGACACTCAGGAGTGTCATCCAGCCTCTGACAACCCTGAAGTTTTCAACTCTGTGTTGCACTCACATGAATATATCAAATATCACGTTGTGTCTGCATGGGCTTTGGAGTGAGCTCTAAAAAGCACACTGCTAACAGTGTGAGGCTTGTTAAAGTCACAGGTTTAGCTCTTCCCTTCAAGTAAGGGAAAGAACCTGTTTCAAGAAAAATGTCCTAGGTACTGTAATTCCTACGGGGAAAAAATGGAAATTTATCTTCTGTTTAAAAAAACTTTGCTTCAGATGAGGCCTTTGGTATTTATAGAGAAATACTGGTAAATTTGGTTATAAGAGACAAAGAGGATGGGTAATCCTGACTGATCCTGAGGCTTCATGTCTTGAGAAAATCATATAAAACCGACTTCTTGAACAAGTTTCAAAATTTGCACTGAAACACATGAAAAGGGCTCTTAAAAGACAGTGGACATTGAGCTGAGGGGAAAAAAAGACAGCAAGCCCACTCTTAAACCTGATATATCACCAAATACCTTTGTGATAAATGCTGTAAAAAATTCAGGATTTTAGGATGGACACATCAAAGTGGAATAAGAAGTTTACAACCTCGTCTACCCTATGCTTACTCTCATCTATTAGCCAACTCCATTTATGTGTCCCAAAGCAGAAACAACCTTCTTTTCTCAAAATACCCTGCAAAAATGGAAAAGGGAGAGTCTGACTTCAAAAGCTCTCGAATCACTGTAACAGTAGATCAAGTGTATTTTAATTAGAAAAAGGTTCAGGCTGCAGAATACAGGTCTGGCTCTGGACCTAAACTGCTCTAACATGCAGCCTGGCTGTCATCTTTCAGCTGGGGCCTCTTACTTTTACTGTGGAAATAAAAATGAAAAAAATCCTCCACTGTAGCATTGGTACGAGTCCAAATTGACAATAAAGTTGCTGGAGTTTCTTGGGATTTACCCTAACAGGAAGTTTTATCGCTGCACATCAGCGTTAGTCATGCCTCGGGTTATGAGTCAAGTCAAAACAAAGCAATCACCTCTTAAATTGTGAAGGGAAAAGAAAGTAAAAGTGAAATTTGGAGTATGCTGTAGTCAATAACCTGATGTTGGCTTTAGCAGAAGGAGGGTGTCACCCAGAAAAGTGCCTGTAGGAATTCCAGTCTTTGTTTTATGCACATAATACACATTAAATAGCAATTCTGAGAAGTGCGGCCCTTAGGTAAACATAGTTCTTACTTGATTTGATTAGGAATTGCACTTTTAATCAATCATTCTTAAGGGTAAGAGGTCAGCAATTATTTTACCTTTAGATTTGGAGATTTCTGCCATATGAAACTGGAGACGAATCATCAGCTCTTCCTAACAGTAGGTTTCTTCTACATGTGCTACATGAACTCAAAAGCTCTATTGCTTTGCTGCAGCAGATTTATCCATTCTTTCAGTCTCTTTAGAGATAAAACAAATTATTTTTAAGCAACCAGGAAGTTTACCTGAGCCATTGCAGAAAGCTCACCATAATAAAATACTGTTTTATCAAAATTTGGCAAAATCCCTCTCGTCATTGTTGGCATTTCAATGTTAAAATATCCAATAATACATTTTGATTTCCAGTTGTTTTGGTTATTTCACCCATTGGAATACCACAGCTCTAGTCCAGATGTATTTTAATCTTCTTTTCTGCCCCTGCCAATATTCTGTTTCCCATTTGCTGAGTTCTCTCATCATGAGCAATATGTCTATGTCACTTCCTCCCTGTATGTTCAGGCTTTTCCTTGACTCATGCAATCTGGAAGAAGCTAAGCCCAAAGGAAAATTCAAGCCCTTTAGGGTTGCTATTTTTAAATGCAGGAACTTCCGTGGGGCTGTTTGGAAGGGAGATTCCTTTTGAAGATAATAAACAACATGTGAGAAATAACATTTACAGCTCCTCTCCAAAGTCTCGTGTCCCAGCCCTGAAGCAGGTCAGCAAAAGCGACACTCCAAAAAACATAAAATATCCAAGGAGAAGCCCCAGACAGTCAGGTTTCCACAGCCTGATGCTGTGGGGTTTTGAATTATATGCTGAAACATGTGGACTGTCCCTATTGATCATGGATGCCCCATCCCTGGAAGTGTTCCAGGCCAGGTTAGAGGGGGCTTGGAGCAACCTGGGACAGTGGAAGGTGTCCCTGGCCAAGGAAGGGGGTAGGACTGGATGGGCTTTAAGGTCCTTTCCAACCCAAACCATTCTGGGATTCTGTGATCTGCATCACCAGGCTTCAGGGATCTCTCCCTCTGCTCCTCAAGGATTGGCCTGACCTCCTGCAAACACATCTTTGATCCCAACAAATACAAGGCCAACTGCCCATGAAACAAATCCTCCTCTTTCCACACTACATGGGGAGGAAGAGAGGGCCCCTTTGGACCCAGAGACAAGAGAGGCAAAGGTGTCCCAGGGGCAGCACAGAGATCATTTCACTCCTTTTTGTTTTTCCTGGGACTCTGCAAATTTCCTCTGCTTTTAAATCCAAGGGCCATCAGCTCCTCCTGGCAGTCACACACTGCAGATCTGAGCCCCACCTGGGGACAAGGTGATTCACATCTAAAGCAGAATGAGTGGCAAAGAAGAACGTGCTCAGAGTGCGCCAGACTTCTCTGCTATCAAACAGCAAGGGCCAGGCAGGTAAGACAAACACTTTGCCTTAGTATTCCAGCTGAAAATCCTTGTGGTGCCAGGGTGCCAGGATCCCACTGCAGAGTGGAATCAGGAGTCAAACCCCTGGTGCTGTGCAATGCCCTGATCCCACTCTCATTCCTGTTTTACTACCACTTTTCTGGGTTTTTTTGCCTAAACAAATACTTCCAGCAGAAGCTTATCTTAGAAAATCTTGTGGTTTATAGTTTACTATGAAAGGTAATGGCAGGGGTTTTTTTTCTGTGCTAGCAGTATATATTAAGTATTTTTCCATGTTACTAGAAGCCAGTTGATGGCACCTTTCCCCCTGGCTGACTCTCCTCTACCTGAACATTTATTTTCATGAAACTTTCAGGAATGTCATATCTGAGATTGCTGCCCTCTGGTAAATCTGTTTGAGTTAGACAGTGAATTGCAAGGTTTGAAAGTGAACAACACACAAACACAACACCCTGGACTGATTGCAACATCATTTCCTAAGGAAATGAATTCTTTTTTTTCAATCAAACAAGAAAAGGCATGCACTGAGCTGGACTTCGTGTCTCTCAGGGACTGTTCATCATCCTGGCCGGAGCACAAGAATGTCTGATACTGTAGGTGAGTAGATTTTGCTCTCAAGGCTCATTATTTACAAGGCAGTAACTCCGTGCAGAGGTTCTTACCAGCAGCTGTAGCACTTCTTCATTCACAATGTAAATGTGCTGTGTAAATGCTTGTAAAACTTTATGAGCTCCATTGCCTCCGAGCACTTCCAGCCCAGGTATGGTTAATAAATGCTGCATGTGCGCTGTCCCGTGCCCCTCCCCAGCCTTCCAGGGCAATATTCCACAGGCAAAGAGCTCCCCTGCTCCCACTGAGCAGCGTTAGGGGGTTTTTGTTACCTAACTCTCAAAAAGACACAGTCCCCTTGTAAGGAGCTGCACCAGAGATTTAATTAACTTTACTTTTTCCATCCACTACCTGTAGCCTCCATCTCACACACTCCCAGCCTCACTTACTGACGCTGCTGGGCGCCCACATCATCATCAATGATTTCTTTATTTCTCTAAGAGGTTTTTTTAGGGTGAAAAGCAGCAGCCTCGATCTTCTGGAGAATTCCCACTAGGTGGCACCGATATCCAACATTCCCTCCCCACCCCGTGTCTGGATTCCCCTTGCTTTGCTCCAGGTCTTCTCTCCCCTTTCTTTTTTTGCAGCATTTCCAAACTCTGAGCTCATCGGTTTTAATAACTACAAAAACAAACAGCTCCCGGGATCTTTTTTCCTGTCCTTTCAGTGCTGGATGGACCCAAGCCAAAAACCGAGTTATGTTTTTTCACAGACAAAAAAGATCAATTTCCAGTGTGGATTCTACAGCTGGTTCAGGAGTCTGACTGGTACAGCCATTAATTATTTCTTCTAGGACCTTCATCATTCGAGTCCTTAGAGGTTCTTTACTTTGTCATCCTCACTTTATGTGCATAATAAACCTGACCTCTGCAGGAGCACCCTGATTCCAGACAGACCAGGGAGCTGGGAAACAGGGAAAGCTGTGAGGAAAACTGATGTAGCAGTGACTGAGAGCTGCCAGCAGCCATTCATCTTCCAGGAAATAAGAGAATGCCTCAAATGAGGCTCTGGCAGCAAATAAAACACAATAATTCTTTCAACAGGAAGTAGCCAAGAGTAATTCTCACTTATAGGACCAAAGTAATCTTGGATATTTTTCATAAGAGATAGAGATTTTTCAGCATGTCTTTCTCTAATTCAGCCCCTTTCCTCACTCCTCCATACTCTTATACATTCCCAAACAAATATGTAGAATTCCTTCAGACTGGAACTAATTTTAGTTTGTAATGTAACAGCAAAGCCCTTCCAAGACTAACAATTACGAAAGATAGTTATGTTTTGGGAAAAAAAAAAAACAACCTGCACACATTTTCCTGGTGAATAGGAAGAAGCTAGAAGTCAATAACTCAAATTAAATTAAAATTACTACTTGGGGATAACCCTGTAACTGACTGGAAAAACAGTTTCTGTTTCTGAGTCTGCCAGACCATGATAATATTATTAACAGAGATAACAGTCCCATGAAAATGAATGTGGATATGGCTGCTGAAGTCCTGAGTTCATTGTAAGCTCATTTAAAATTCTTTATCTACATTTCTTCAGATTTTAAACATAAATTCCTGACTAGTTGTTTTCCTTTCCTCAAATTAACTTTGCAAAGTAAGAGTTTCCAAACTCCATTTGAAAGGCTCCATTTCAGATCTTTTAAAAATCACAAGGATATCAAAGATATAAACATCAAGGAATGTACATTAGTTCTTCACTCGCTATCTCACAGTGCAGTGATAATGTAAACAATTATGAAGATGGGATTTCTGGAAGGCCAGGCAGCTTTACAGCTGTGGGATATCAGACCCTGGCTTTTATTCAGGTGTTGGAAAAACAAAGACTGTCAGGAAAAAAGAGGCTAAGTGTGACAAGACTGGAAAAAGCAGAGGACAGAATAATTCAAAATTCACTGACCTATTTACTCCTGCATCTGCCACAGCCTCCAGTCTGGACAGCCCAACAGGAAATGCACCAGGAAAAAGTAATCACTGGAGATTATCCTATGTATGAGAGAGAAACAATGTCTGCAGTCAGCCTTCCCAAGCTCAACAATTTCCTCTAACTCATAAAAAGCGGAATGCAGCTGCTGTCCTTCCCTCGCAGATGGGACAGAGAATTCCCAACACTTCAGGCACGGAGAACCCACCAGGCTCCCGTGTCCTTCCACCCTCCTGGTGCTCCCCTAGAGTCAGGGATCTTTCCTCCCATTAGGATTTTTCCCTCCCATTCCCACCTGGCTGCAGGCACAGCCCCAGGGCTTTGATGTGCAGTTGTTCATCCTCGGGGCAGCCCCAGCTGTTGTTGTATTTCACCCACTGCTTCAGAGGGATCTGCAGCATCAAAAAACCACACAGGAGCAAAATACAAACAGATCCCCGTGAAAATGTACAAAATGTGTCGTTAGATCAGTGCCCAAAGGCTCAAATATCCTGCCCCTTATTGTAGGATATCCAGATTATCATTAGCACTCAATCATTATTATTTTTCTTTTTTGTTCCTCAGGAACAGGGATTTCCAATTGCAAATTTCTCATCAGGTGGATGACCTGACCACCGTTTAAAGTCAATTCACTATTTAAAAGACATGGGATCCTACTCTTTATTTTCGGTGTTTACTACTGTTTTTATGGAAGCTGTCACGTTAAGAACAATGGAGCATGTAATGGCATGAGGAAGGGCTTTTTTTTTTTCTCTGGGGATTGCAGCAAAAGGCTGATCAAATTTCAGTGTTTTTTAGAAGTTGTTCTGCCTTGACAGGCAACTAATGTCTCCAGCACGGGGTACACCGGAGCTCAGCCGTGGTGGCTGCATGGCAATGACACCACGTCACCTGTGGCCATCCCAAGTGCATCCCGTGTGTGTCATGTGTAAAGTGAATTTGTAGCTCTGTGGCAAACACAGATCCACCACTTGCAAGTCCTGCTACAACAGTTGTACATTGGAATGCATCTTCTCACCTGCATGAATTATTTACAAAGGGTAATGGTTTTGAGCCAGTAAAATGACAAGTCTGTTTTAAGTCAGCAGGCACCAGAAGCAATATAAAGTCACAGTGTAGCCTCCTCAGTCATCTCGATCAGGAACCACATTTCTCACCTCAGCAGGGAATTGTTTAAATTACTCTTTGTACCCCCAGAAAATTTTCCCACCTGTGTTCCATCCCCATTGCTACCATGAATGCTGAAGGATTTACAAAAAGGTAAATGTCTTTATGTGCATCCATAAAGTAAAAGCCAGTCATCATCTCCTATTCCACATCCAGAACTGGGGGCACCAGAACATAAATGTCAAAGCTCTGATAACTTGGAGGGTCCAGTTTGGGATGCCTTATGTTTGATTATTTTTTCCCCCCAGAATATTAAGTAGCATAGAACTTTCTATATTAAAATGCAGCTCTCCTGTTCTCACCTCCAATCTGGACATCAGCAAACAGAGTTCAGCTGATTACTCAGACACTCAGACACAGCTCAGCTGTAAAAATCCTGACTTCCCCCAAGGACACAAACTAGGACCTCAAAGAGGGGTAAATTCAATTTTCCCAGGAGCATTCACCTCTTCAAGTCCAATCTTTTTATTCCTGCAGCTCCTGATCACCAAGAGATGACACTGCATGTTAAAACAATCTTTGTATGTCTTAGTAAGCTTTAGCCACTGGACAAAAAGGTTAAACATCTGATGTAATAATTGTGGCATCGAGTTTAGTAAAATTGACAAAATAAAATGACAGAAAACACAAGAAAATTATCTTAAGAGGATGAAAATAAACAAAGGAAAGAAGCAAACCAAAAAATGTAGTTCTGTGGTGTCCAAATTACAGAGAGGTGCACTTCCCACATCTTGTGGTTGATGATGAGAACCTGCATCCAAAGGAAATGGGATTTTTCTGATATCTCTTCCCTGATCAGCTTCTCAGTTATCCAGGTCGGAGTACACAGAGAGGAACTCACTGAGTTATAATTTATCCATTTCTCAAAACTTAGAGGAACTTCATTTTGCTCATCATTTCTTGGTTAGGTCTGATGGATTGGCCAATGCTTTGGCCAGTGGTTGCTCTGAGCAGCACAAACTCACAGGCAGTTGGGTTGCACAAGCCTCCTTTGCCCGGGAAATGAAACTAGAGCTGATAAATGGCTCGGTGTAAATTCCTGCCACGAATTCCCTCTGCAGCCTCCCAGCTCCCCATGGCTCGGAAACCACTCATCCCTCACCTCTCCTGATTAGATCTGTAACATATCGAGAGATCAGGCCAAGTAACATTTCTCTCCTAGCAACTAATTTAATGCTTTTTAATATATTACAGCCTCTTTTAGGTCCAAACCTTTCTATTTTGGGACTTCCAATTCAAATTTGCCTAATAGCTTCACATAATAGTCCCTTGCTCCCAATAAATTCCTCATTTCAACTTTAATTGGTTTGTTCATGGAGAATCACAATTTACACGAGCTAAAGAGATCTATCACTAGCAGCTACTGACTATAAGTAATATTTGATTAAACAAAATGAGATAGTAATTTGCTTTTTTTTTTTCTCCTAGCATTTGTTAATGATATTGCCAATTTCTACTAGGAGTTAAAGTATATTTACACCATAATCAATTAAATGTATTTGAAATGGATATTAAGTAACACCATGGGTTCAGTGCCCTTTAAAATTTACATTTTTTCATTTTAAACACCTTAAAATGTCAACCAATTGTTCTCGAGTGAAAAGTAATCAAAACTAAAGACAGACTGCTTTTATGAGTGGTGATGTCAGCAACAAGTGGAAGCACAAAAATTAAATCATTTGAAGAGCTGTAATACTGAAGTATAAATCACCCCCAGTGATTCGAAAGTCTCAGTCCAAAAATAAAGAATTATCTCATTTTACTCAGCAGAATAAAAGAGCCTGAAGAGCCTGGAAATGGAAAAAGCACAGGACAGCTCTGAAGGAGATTGGTAGAGGGAGTGGAGCTGGAGCTTGGGTGATACTAAGAAACTTCCTGGAAATTTTTTTGTGAAAGAAATGGATACTCTAAACCAGCATGAAAATACCTCAACCTGAAACACTCGTGGTTGGAACAAAAGATTTAAATGTAACTTGGAGGAAGCTTCCTAAAGACAAGGGAAAAAGATTTTTCTTTGTTAAATCATCACTGTTTCAAAGCAATTAGAGTTCATTCTTGGGTGTCTAACTCATAATTTCAAACACCTTGGTCCTCAAACTGTGAGTAGAAGATTTCATTAAATGAGAATATATCAAACAGATATTTGAAATGCATGTAGAAATCATATTAGCTTCTGGTACTGACTGCTATTAATTACTGGGATATGCAGAATATTTGAATAAGAATTTCTTAAGCTTCTTTGATGTTGTTTTTCTATTAAGGCCAGAAAAATGCTTATGCAAAACACACACTTATGAGTATTTAGGAAAAAAAATAACTTTGGCATATTAATTTGATTTTTTTACTTATTCTTCTAGTTTAGCTGGAGACTTGGTTGGATTTTGTTTGTCCTGTAATAAAATAAACTAGGAGAGGGATCTGTATTTAGGCTAAGTCTGATTTTATGCTGGTGAGGTATATGTGACCTAGCTCATGTTTTTAGGCACCACAGAGGGATTTGGGAGCACTGATTTAGGATGGCACATTTTTGGGAGCCTGAACTGAGATGCACCAGCGGCCTGGGCTGGGCTCTAGGGGATAAAAAGGCCAAAGACAGTGAAGGCTGTGACAGTCAACACCCAAAACACAGCGCAGCCAGCAAGCTGTGGAAGAATACATTAATATGATGAGTAGGTTTAGATGGGATATTGGGAAGGAATTCTTCCTTGTGAGGGTGGGGAGAGGCTGGGCTGGAATTCCCTGTGGCTGCCCCTGGATCCCTGGGAGTGTCCAAGGCCAGGTGGTGTCCCTGCCATGGCAGGGGTGGCACTGGGTGATCTTTGAGGTCCCTTCCAGCGCAGTCCATCCTGCGAATTCCATGAACACCTCCGGTGCTACACAGCCTCTTTGGGGCTTTGCCTTCCCGGTGCCCCTGAGCCCCAGCCCGTCCCGGCGGTGCCACCGTGACAGCGTGTCACCCCCGCTGCCAGCCCCGCTGTCACTGTCCCCTGTCACTGTCCCCTGTCACTGCCCCGCTGTGACTGTCCCGCTGTCACTGTCCCCTGCCACTGTCGTCTGTCACTGCCCTCTGCCACTGCCCCTCTGTCCCTGTCCCGTGTCACTGTCCCCTGTCACTGCCCCTCTGTCTCTGTCACCTGTCACTGTCCCCTGTCACTGTCCCTTGTCCCTGTCCCCTGTCACTCCCCCGCTGTCACTGTCCCCTGCCACAGCTCCCCTCCATCACCACACGAGCCTCGTTCCCCAGGCGGCTCCGGACCGGGGGCTGAGGGGAT